AAGCGCCGCGAGATCGAAATAAAAAATTTTAAATTTTTTTTGTGACATAAAGGGACTTCATGGAGTCCCCCGCGTCCCCAGGGCCATCTGGCATTTTACGAGCTTCCACGGCGTTTTTTAATGACGATTGTCTTCGTTCCAGGATCGCGCTTCTACGACGTTCTTTGCGCTTTCATTGCGCTTTTACGGCGTCCTTACGGCATTTTCACACTGCGCTGAAATCGTAAAGCTCTGTAAAAGCGCCGTGCACACGCAGTATAAGCGCGGGTAAGGGACGCCGCACAAACACCCTACAAGCGCCGTTGGATAACCACCGCGTTCATTCGGCGTTCCTTTTGCGCTTTCACGGCGCTCTTTGTTGCGTTGTAGGAGATGGTTACTTGAGTTGCTACGGCGTCCTTGCTGCGATCTCCACTGAGCTCACTTTAGAACCGCGAGTGACGGCGTTTGTTTTGAACATGCTCAAAATGCGCGCCGTCGGTCGGCGTTCTATGCGATGCCACTACGATGCTACGGCGATGCCTGCAGCGATGTTTTGCGATCTTACTGCACTCACCTCGGCGTTCTGAAGTTTCATTGGACGCCGTGAGAACGCCGTTCTAGTGTGACAGGGGTTTTAAGGATTAACCCGTCAAAGTTAAGTCATTTTATTCGATGCTTTAACACGAACTATTAATGCAAATCTAAACAAAGTAGATCTATAAAACACAAATTCATCAGGTTCATGGAAAATGAGAAAATAAATGTTTAGGAATTATAAAACGTAATATTTTATAGTAATGATAAGACTTCGACATTTCTTGGCATTTTCATAATATCTTTATATTACTTTTGTTTAAAAGAGAAGCGTTGCCTTACCTATCAATGCTAAAAAATTGTAAAAAAAAAACTCTTTACGTTTATTGTTAAAAGTGTAAGCTTCCGTACAGATTCCGACGTTTTGCTGTGAATGTTTAATTTCATTTTTTGTTTCTTTTTCCTTCCAATACTACGACAAATTAAGTGCCATATTCGATATATATAGGAAAATAATTAAATAAACAACATATTTCGTTATTTTTGTATTTTTTTCCATACAAATGGCTTAATCAATCACGATACATTTTCCATCAGGGCTTTACATTAGGTTTATAACTCGCATGCAAACATGGCAACAAATTGCCAATATAACAATATATATCAATATCAAAATATGCGGATTTAATGTCTTCAAAATCACTGCAAGACTTTTGTTTTAACACGTTCTGGTATATCATATGTAATCTGTATAATTGAACAGAACAGAACATTATGGCGCAACTGCGTGACAGAAAATCATCCGTGCCATGCTGTATTTATAAATAACGCTAGTCTGCTTTAATTGGAAAATTCGGATCCCATTACGCACAAAATTCAGTTAATTTTCAGTTAAGTTCGTTAAGTTGGAATAAGACGAAGTTTAAACTTACAGTTTAATAATGAAAATGACATTTCCAAAAATCATCAAAAAATAGCGCTAGGAAACTTATATTTATGATAATGAACGTTATAATTCTAAAAATGTCCACCTATGCAAGTTTACAGTTTTATGAATGCTAATTAGTCAAATGACAAAAAAGATTGTTTTATAGCTGCTGCATTTTTTTCAATTTATTGAATAATGTAATGCCTCCTGATTGATGTAATAATGAATAAAGGGAAAGTATCGTTGTAAGGAGGATTCATATGACTGTTGATTTGTCTCCCCTAGATATGGACGGCTTTCCGGAAATGAGTTATGTTACACAAAACTAATTGTTCAATTTTCAAAGAGAAATAAAAATTCTGTTGAGTAGATTTTGATATAATTAAAATATTAATCTCTCTTGTCAATTACCGTGTATTGCACATATTTTCTTGTTTTTATCGCCTTAAACAAGCAGTTTTGTTTAAATGGAACAATATATAATGTGCCATATTTCAGTGTCTCATTATTATATTATAATAGATTAAATTAATATTTAAATAACATGCTTTAAAGGGTATTTATGTGTCTGTGAACATCGAAAATATCATAAAATAAACACAGCTACATGTCCGCTACATTTTACTCCGTTGCGGACCACAACATAACCCAATCTGTAAGTGACCTTTAGCATCTTTTTTTTTCCGAGGTCACAGGTACATTTTTTGTATATGTTTCTCCACATATGTTTTGCCACATGTTGTAAACCTAAAATTACTTAAATAATACTGTAAATGATGATTATATGAGTGCTATCTTACCAACATTCACATTTTAGAACTAAAAAGTGTACAAAACATGAAAAGACAGGACCAGGCAAAACTTTATGGACCTATACAGGCTAATTAATGATTAAGCCGGGTCATAGAATGAACTTAACACACAGAAAACTCGGAATATATCACGTGCAGTAACAAAGTCTCAAAAGTTTTTATTGATATCTCAAGGCCCAACTGGGCATGTGAGAAAATTTGAAAAACGCTAAATGTGATGGTAAAGTGTTAAAGTATTTTTTCAAAACCATTTCGAGTTTAAAAAGTTCTATAATTCAGCCATTTACTGGATTTCATAAATAGAAGTTTGCCAACCTTGAATAAACTGATCCTTAATTCTAGCAGAAAATACTTTTCTTAAAATGTGGACGGAATTGTCTGTTTGAAAAATCCAATAACAAACCGAGAGAATCTAAATTAAGAAGTATGCACAAATGAAGAAAATGAAGCTGGGTCAAAGAATAAATTAAATTTTACACATAATAAAGAGTCTACTCGAAATATCACACGCAGTAAACAATTTCGTATTCAACGGTTGATGATTTGGGTATAAGGCATAATCATTAGTCATTATATGAACGGGGAAAAACGCGTACACCGCTGAATGTGTAATATAGTTGTATACCTGCTTTATGCATTTGACAAATAGTCACGGTTTTATTTAAAACTATTTTGCGAAAGTGTTACTGCAGGTATATTTACAATATGTTTAACACGTAATTCCTTAATTCCATTCTATTCACGAGTTCAACATTCTCAATTTTAACGTGCTCATTATTTGTATATTGGCGTTTTTTATAAATTGCAAACTTAGTCATTTAATAGGATAAAGTGGAAAAGTTTCAGAGTCTCATTCTAAGTAATCTGCATATATTTAAACATAACGTTGTGATGTCTTTATTTTATAAAGAAAATGTGGGAAGTATGTACTTCCAAACAAGTTTAAACAAGACCCGGGTTCGAGCCGGGTGATGCTCCCCGAATATTTTTGAACACAGGAAAGTACAAACTCTTGTACTGTAGAGTTTTTCCCTGGAAAAGGTTCATAAGTTGCCAAACAATTCCAAAATTAGCCATGGCAGAGGTTACTTTCTTCGCACTGCACTTGAATCAATTGCGATCTATCAACCCTTAGAAAGTTTCTGGTTGATATCGCTTATGGATTCCGAGTTATGTCCGGGACAATTCAAACTTGTAAAAAATGAAACAAAGGGCAAATTACTACAAAATTGGCAAGGGCAGAGTTTCGATTCTTGTGCACTGCATATCAACCCATTGAGATATATCTACCTACAAATTTTCATTTTGATATCTCCTATAGTTTTAGAGTTAGGGGAGATAATTCAAAAACCGAGTAAAATAGAGTTATGGTTCTTTGACACTGTACTCCCCTCAATGCCCTTTACCACTGTATGAAGTTTAAACAAATTATCTCCAAGGGTATTTAAGTTTTGCTCCGGAGACAACGGATGGAGAGACGGACGGACAGACGGACAATGCGCCGAATATATGCTCCCCCGAAATTTTTTGGGGAGCATAACTAGGTCTGTAGAGAGCGGAAAACAAATAATATACTTATCAATTTTGTACAATTCTTTATTATGAAAAGTCACACATACATGCTATCAGAACCAATCAAAAAGATATATTTTATTATTTAAAGTATTACATTTATAACAAAAAGCAGCAGAATAACAATGTTCTCATAAAGGTTATATGACCAGATCTAAATGTTATATATTGCCTACATTTTGTTAACATTTCTCTATGCTGATATACATGTCACCATTGTTGGATAAATTCAAAAAATATGGATCTGGTGTATCCATTCTGAATTTAATTTTTTTTATAAAATACATAATGTTCTAGACATGTTATTTATTATACAAAATGTTGGTCAACCACTGCCTGATATCTTCTTATAATTCTTCAATAAAACCAGCTACTTATAATAAACTTAAAAAGTGCAATATAAAATGAATAGAATTGTTTCAAAAAGTTTCACGATTGTTTAATTCTTTCAGACAAGTTTTTATTGATGCTAACACAATAGCGGAATAATGTTTTCAATGAACATTTCAAGTTTTAAACAGTCATGTATAAACATGGCCAATATAGTTTTGTCATCATGAGGATAACAAATATAAGCATAAAATACACATAAATTCAAATACCTAGTAAACAATTCATAACATGATTTTCATGTTATCATACCTAGTAAACAATTCACAACATGATTTTCATGTTATCATACCTAGTAAACAATTCATAACATGATTTTTATGTTATCATACCTAGTAAACAATTCATAACATGATTTTCATGTTATCATACCTAGTAAACAATTCATAACATGATTTTCATGTTATCATACCTAGTAAACAATTCACAACATGATTTTCATGTTATCATACCTAGTAAACAATTCATAACATGATTTTTTATGTTATCACACCTAGTAATCAATTCATAACATGAATTTCATGTTATCATACCTAGTAAACAATTCATAACATGATTTTCATGTTATCATACCTAGTAAACAATTCACAACATGATTTTCATGTTATCATACCTAGTAAACAATTCATAACATGATTTTCATGTTATCATACCTAGTAAACAATTCATAACATGATTTTCATGTTATCATAATTATGTTAACTATGATACTATATAAATGAATTTACCCTATTATATACATTTAAAGTTTAAAGGCACATTACGCCTCAGAAATGAATATATATATTTTTTTTGTAAAAAAGGGCAAATATGTGTTTTATAATGTTGTAATAATAGATTTACAACATGTGATATTCTTATCACATGGCAAAAAAAAAGAGTTTGAAAAGAAAATATGATTTGTGTAGCAAAATGTCAACAAAATGGTTATTTAACATCCATACTAAATACTTATTCATCATAACTGTTCTGTACTGCAAAAACAACAACAGATGGCTCTGATAATGAGAAACTCTTTGGATAAAAAATTAGGAAAGCTTTTTGAAAAATAAAAGTGATTGAATTTTTAAGGCTTAATGGGCCTTTAAAACAAATAGGTACAACAATTTAAAATGTATGTATTAGTGTCATGTCACATAACATAACTTGTTATAAAATAATATAATCTTATTTTCATAAAAGGATTGCAATAGCTTGTAATTATACAATTAACAATATTAAAGGAACTCCACTGAGATTTATAAAATAAAAGTGATTGCATTTTTAAGGCTTAATGGGCCTTTAAAACAAATAGTTACAACAATTTAAAATGTATGTATAGTGTTATGTCACATAACACAACCCGTTATAAAATTATACAATTAACAATATTAAAGAAAACTCCACTGAGGTTATAAGCCTAAAAACATAACATTCTAATTTTCACATAAATAAACATAAGCACTTTAAACAGAAATATAAATTAAATATAACTAAGAAATATACAAGAAATACATTGAAAATTGTATGTTTGTGCTATTCTCAGTCCGATTTGATTGAAAAGCGTTTAAACACTTTTCAATTTTGGGTCATTTTTCACTATTATAATAATAATTCTGGAAAAAGGGAGCGAGCTAATGATCTAAAATTTTGCTTATAGGTTATTAGTATAGATCTACATCAAATGGAGTAATAATCTCAAAAAAATTATTTCCAGTCCCGGCATGTCAAGAATTCTCAGTGGAGTCCCTTTAACATGTAATATTATGTACTATATACATTCAATCAGAATTGCATGTAACAAACAGACATGTGTAAAATATGTTTATACATGTATATAACATATCTTAATCTTGGTATATACTAACATCAGCAAGCATAAAAAACTAACACACCTATAATAAAATGTAGTTATATCTTTACTGTCTGAAAACATTTAATATATATTTTAGCATTGTCGGAACCCATACATACATATTTGGCTGAACTACATTCATCACGAATGAAGTGTATTCATAACCAGTATGCTTAAATTACCCAGGATGCATTTTTAGACAGTATATTACAACATATCTTTTTAGTTATTTCATGTAACATATGTTTTACAATACATGTAAAATAGCATATCATAATTATGTTAACATCAGCAGAAATATAACTTATGTATACCTATAATGTTATATTGTCTTGGTACTATAATATGACACATTGTTTAACTAAAAATTCTAATTCAACTGTCACATAAATTATATATGAACATAAATATCTGATAGTATACAACCTTATAAAATATGGCTGTCTGTGTGAGAGAGCATATTGGTATCCGAGAGCTGGTATATATCCCTCAGGTATAGCTGAAACTTGTATATATCCCTGAGGGTAACTGAGAACTGACTTATGCCGAGAACTGGAATACATCCCCTATTGCGGGGTAGTCGATAACTTATATATATCCCCCAAGGTGCAGTCAAGAACAGGTATATATTCCGGGGGTGTAGCTCTGAACAGGTATTGGTGTCTAAGGGGCAGCTTAGAACTGGTATATATCCCTTAGATGTAGCCGACAAGTGGTATATATCCACCAAGGGGCAGTAAACTGGTATATATCCACGAGGGGCAACTACGGACTGGTTTATATTCACGAGGGGCAGCTGAGAATTGGAATATATTACGGAAGGACAACTTAGAACTTGTATATATCCCAGGGTTAGCTGAGAACTGATAAATAATTCTGAGGGGGCGGGGCTGATAACTGGTTTATATCTTGAAGGGCACCTGAGAACTTGTATATCCCCGAGGGGCAGCTTATAACTTATATTTATCCCGGAGGGGCAGCTGAGAACTGGTTTATATCACTGAGGTGTAACCCAAAGGCAACAAAGCCAGTTGAAGAGTCAATAAGCACTTGCATCTGACAGCCATGTATATTTTATCTCAATTGTACATTTCTATTGAGCATATATATGAAGGTATAATGAAATCATATTTACATAAATCGTGTATAACTTGTTTTAATTAAAAATAATGTTATACTGTCTTTGTAATAACAGTATATACAGTACATCTAAATTTACAGCAAAGTATATTTATAATTGCCTTGTGTTTAAATTTATCATTCTAACACTAACACAAAAAGTTCCCTTGAAGGAGCTCCATTGAGGCCCAAAAGCCAAGCAAAAAATAATTAAAGTAGAAAATCCAAAACAGATTAATCGGGGTATTCAATACGGAAAACATAAAAATGATACTGAAGAAATATACTCTAAATAAAACTGAAAATCGATATTAATGAACTGTTATTATCAGACAGACTTTAACTATAAACATTTAAACACTTTATATACAATTTTGAAAAACAAGAGCTCTCAATAGCACAGTGTCCTCAACTAGCCACAGTGATGGATAATGCAGAATTTTCTGATATCAAAAAGGGAAATAAATCTGTCAAAATCTATGTTATAGTCCATGGTCCTCGGACATTGACTTCTTATAACTCTCATATATTACTCTAAAAAAATTAAGTAAATATAATTCTGAATACGTCAAAAATCCTCAGTGGAGTCCCTTTAACAATTTGAGTAATACTGACTAACAGTATTAACTTGTACACATTATCGTTTTGCATAATCATAATTTTTTTTCTCACTTTTTTTCAATCTTTACAATATAAAACAATCAAAGAAGGAGTCTCTAAAATAAAACATGTAAATGGTTCTCATCTCAATGAATAAAACAATTATGTATACCATTCACTTGTCCTATATATCATATAACAGGTATTCACATATAAAATTTACTATTCCTCTATATCATATACATGTAATCCTATATATAACTGGTAATAACATATACTGTACCCCTGTACTTTATCTCTTATAATACTGTACGTTTGTAAAGTCGCTTTTCATTGGATAATCGTGATGTTTATATAGATTTATATACACGGCTGCTGTCAATATCTTACTTTTCCTCCACAAAATGATGCTTGCTGTATTATAAATTCGTTATAAAGATTGTTGACAGGTTATATGGCCGTATATAAATGGCTGTTTGCAATAAAACCCGAGCCGTTACAAAAAGCCGTTTATATAGGGCCATATAACCTGTCAACAATCTTTATAACGAATAATATAACTGGTATTTATTATACAATTCATTGTCCTTTATAACATATAACTGGTATTTGTATATTAACATTCCATTGTTCTATATATCATATAACTGGTATTTAGAAAGGCCATTCCCTTGTCCTATATACCATATAACTTGTTTTTAATAATACCATTCTCTTGACATATAATCATATAACCAATATTTACATATACCACTCCCTTATCCTACATACCATATAACTTTTACCATTCCTTTGTCCTAAATAACATATGAGCCGTGTCACGACAAAACCAACATAATGGGTTTGCGACCGTATCCGCGCAGTCTGATCAGGATCCATGCTGTTCGCTTTACAACCCTATTACAAATAGAGAAACTGATAGCGAACAGCATGGATCCTGATCAGACTGCGCGGATGCGCAGGCTTGTCTGGATCCATTCTGGTCGCAAACGCACTGTGTTGGTTTTGTCATGACACTGCTCAAATATTTGGTATTCATATAAACTATTTCATTGTCCTATTTATCATATAACTGGTATTTATATATGTAAACACCATTCATTTATAGTTCATTATACCATTCCCTTGTATTTTATATAATAAAACTGGTTTTTATTCACTTGTCCTAAGTATCGTGCAACTAGTATTTGTTTATACCATTACATTGTCCAATATATCATATAACAGGAGTTCATATATTACCCTATACACCATATAACTAGTATTTGTTTATATCATTACATTGTCCAATATATCATATAACAAATATCTATTCATTCAGTTACATTAATCATTTACTTCTTCTGCCCTTGTACAATATGATATAACTGGTATTTATATATACCTGATTCCCTTGTCCTTTATATCATATAACTGGTATTTATATATACCTGATTCCCTTGTACATTATGATATAACTGGTATTTATATATACCATTCCATTGCCATACATATTTATACGACTGGTATTTGCATGTTATCTTTTACTTCTAACTTTTCTGACCATGTAAATTACATTAAACATCTGTTTTATGATATTTTCATTAAATTTACTTATTTATTAATTTATTTACTTGTTTATTAACAAATCTATTTATGCATTCTTATTAAGACATTACTTTTTTCAAATCATATTTCTTTTCACAAACTATATCTGATATTTAAGAAAATAACCTTTACCTTTATCCAGATTAATATATTTTTTCTTTATATTTCACTGCATTTCTTTCATTTATTTATTTAAATACACATTTGAATATTACTTTTATCAATTTCAATATATCAACAATGATCAGAAATTAATATTTAATGAACTGTTTTTGATGATTGTTATCTATCATATTGTATTAAATTCATTATTTAACTTATCAATATGTAACTTTATTATTATATTTTTTTTTGCTGATAATGTTTATTTTAATAATTATGTCTTTTTATCATGAAATAATTTAGATTAAGCACTATGTTAACTGCATGTTTTCTATCTCACTATGTTAAAAATTCAGATTTTTCTTGGTCAAAAATGATAAAAAAATTATCATCTCTTTTAACATGCAATATAATGTAGTTTAAATACTACATGTATCCTATATCACTTTTTTGTTGAAAATTCAAAGCAATAACCATCACGTTTAACATGAAATAACTGATCCTTATCCTTCACATACTGTTTAGCATCATTTACCTTCTCTCCTACAAGTCCTCCTGGTGTCAATGTTAACTTATCATCATTAAACTCCTCACCATCTCCTGTTATATAACAGCCCCTTACATTCACATCTACAGTATGAGGAATATGAGGAAGACTATCAACAAACTTCTGCCATGTTGTCAAACTCATTATGACAAAATCAAGCTCAATGTTCTTTAAACTCTTCATCTCTAAAGGTGACTGTATTATATTGTCAGTTAACCTACACAACTGTAACTCAAGCTTACTGAGATTGTGTAACAATGGTAATACTGTGACAAGTCTCTTTGTTATGTTGGTATGATATATTTGAGATTTATTGTTAATATCTCCATACAATTCAAGTTCTTTTAATTTGTTAGATTTTCTAATAATATCAAATATTTTCTCATAATTACTATTTTTCAATTTATCAAATTTAAATATTTCAAGGTTTGTAGTATCAACATCTATCACACTAGCAGTATCAAACAAATAAAGGTACTGAAGTTGTTGATGTTTTGATAAATTTACATCATGCTGGTTCCTACACTCACATTTAACATTAAGATGTATTTGTTCAAGATGACTGGTTCTCTCAAGAAAATTACAAAATGTAGTAGTATCATCATAACTCATTGTTATATATATCATACTTATTGCTACAAGATTGATCATACTAGGTAGGTTACTAACAACTGTTGTACACACTGGGTAATACTTGTCATTGTAAGAGACACGATAAAGAGATAGAGATTTTAATGTTGAAGTATTTACTTTAATTGTCTCATAAACACAATTATTAATCATCTGTTCACTGGTACTCTGTGTACTATGACTTTGTGGACCGAACAACAATCCATATTGTATTACAATTTTTTCAAGATGGTGAAATATTGGTAAATATTTTGTAACTTTAACATTGTGTGTGTTGATGTAACCTACATTAATAGACAGAACAGAGTCAGGAACAACCTGATGCTGATCAATACCTGAACAAACAATATCACAAACCTCACTATCATCAATGACCAAATCTCCTATATAAAAAACAGGATTATTTCCTATACTACATGCTGCATTGAATTCTTCCATTGATTCTAACATAAGCTTTTGAATATCAGCAATAAAACCATGATCGCTATAAAAAATGTTACTTATTGTCCTCCTGTATTCCTGAACACGAGAGTCTTCTGACACAGTATCATATATGTATTTTGAAACATGTGTTGCTAATCTAGGTTCTAGACCACATAGCATAATGATAACATTTGACTGCTCTAATATGTCATTTACTGTTGAACAATTCCGAAAAACCTCACAAATAAACATTTTGACTAATTCAACATTTCCTGTACTATCTGATGAACACATTTTTGCATTGAAATTTATACCAATATTTACTGCAGCCAGAAATTCTTGCATTGATTTGTGAATGAAAGAGAACAATGAGCTTTTTAGGTTTGGATACAGAAAAAAGAAGGACATTTATCTTCTGTCAAAATCCCCAGTTTTCAGACATGTTTGTCGCACATCTTGTGATATTTTCAAATCATCAAACACAGATTTGTCAAATGTTAAGGACTTATCCTTAGGATAATTGAACAATGTCTCATAAGCCAAGTGCGACGCACCATATATAAGATGACTATTTAATCTACATATCTCTACATCTGTTAAATACTGAGGGAGTTCAACATTCTGAGAAACTTTCCATACATTCTGTATTATTTCCTAAAGTTTTATTGATATTCCAGGTGAAATAAAGTTCTAACATACCAGTATAAATAGCACACCTTGAGGTTTTATCGAGTTTACCATCACACCATAGACAAACCAATTGTTGCAGCATAATTGGGTACCTGTTTCAGGCCAACCACAGAGGGTATCCTAAGATATTTTGTTCACACACATTAGGATCTAATGATTCGTTCAATGCTGTTATTGTTTTCTTAATCATTTCTTTTTTCATGTGTTTTATCAAACCCTTTTAATTTCAATAATTGATGAATCTTCTCTATTACTTACTCTCAAACTGTGAATTTTCCATGGCCGTGATGTAGTAACAATTGTGTATTTTTTTGTAAAGTCACGTTCAGGAAGGCCTGCCTGGAACTCATTTCTAGTCTCACTGTCAAAAAGACCATTCATCTAAACATCAAGCAAAATAATTATCTTTTCAGAATCATTTTCCAGAAGTTTACTTAAATTTTTTATCTTATCATATCGCATTTCAAGCATTTTTTGGATACTTCGGGTCTTTATGTTATGTCTAAGAGAAATATAAAACATGAAATCAAATTTCTTCATTTCCTTGACTCCTTCAACACTCATCATCTTCATTGTGTCCATCACTGTGTGCCATACACCAACAGTTGATCAAATATTTACAGAAACTACTCTTACCAGACCCTGCATCTCCAACAACATAAATAAATTTCTGTGGTTCCCCGTTCTTTGTGAAAATCTCTGACATGGACTTTATTTCTTTGTCCTCAGACTCAGCTTTGTTTTTTTCTATCTTGATTGTTATAGTGGGTCTTATATAAATGTCACTGAAGTTATAATTTTCCTCATCTGGTTGTAAAGGTATTGCTGATACTTTAAGTACGTCACTGCGATAATGTTCTATCAATTGAGTACGACAACCTGAAATTTATTGAAAGCAAAACTCACAAATTATCTTAACATTACAAGATTCCCTCACAAACTAGAGAGTTCCCTTACATTGAAATATACTATATGATAAAGTTATCACAATTTGGGCCAAATTCACCTGTTTTAGCCTTATAATATTATATGAAGCATACCTAATTTAGCCTTTACATACCTGATATCTAGCCTTTTCTGATAAAAATTTTATTAGCCCCTTCATTCTATATATATAACATACCTAATTTAACCTTTCATATTCTATATAACATACCAGATTTTGCCTTGTCATGTTCTATATAATATACATGTATTTTGTACCTTATAAAGCCTTTTTAAATTCCTTATAATATACCTTATTTAGCCTTTTCATATTCTATAGAAAATACCTGATTTAGCCATCTCATATTATATATAACAAACCTAATTAAACCCTTTCATATTCTATATAACATACCTGATATAGCCTTTTCATATTCTATATAACATACCAGATTGTGCCTTTTAATGTTCTTTATACCTTACCAGATTTAGTATTTTCATTTTAAATACTACCTACCTGATTTAGCCTTTTTCATATTTAATAATAAGTAAAGTAGGTGAGGAACACACGTACAACACCAGGTCAAGTTTTAAAAGTTTTTATTGGCTACTAGTTTCGAGTAATACAATACTCTTCATCAGGCTTAAAAAATATCAAATTCTAACTACTGAAGTACTAATATTTAGGGATACTTTTTTGTGTTTTGTTACTATAAATAGAAGTATTGTTACTAATAATAGATCTAGTTTTGGCACTGTTCCAACAAGCTTATCATTAAGTATAACATGTATATTGTTAGAATAAAAAGAATCACAAGTTAATTATGCTTTGTTTAATACCCCATAAATCTGTCCAATGTTTATTATGAGTTCATTTGTTTTACTGAACATACCATACTCGTCTTGGCAAACAGTTTCTGTACTCGATGATGGGGAGGGTTCCTCAAAATTTGCAGTTGGTGTTGTTGGTCTGCTGTGCTTTGGAGTAGGTGGTAACGGCGAGATTGGTGTAGGAATCAAGATGTGTGTTGGTGGTAGTTCTACATTTGATTTGGATGGTCTCTTTTTGTTGAATTTTAAGGCTGGTGTCCCTGTCTTGCCCATAACAATTCTAAATTTTGGAGTTTTTGTGGTAGTTTGGTTGTTGATAGCTGGAAAGGTGAATTTTCATATTTAATTTACATACCAGATTTCGCCTTTTCATATGCTATATAACATACCTGATTTAGTCTTTTCATTTTATATATAACATACCTGATTTAGTCTTTTCATTTTATATATAACATACCTAATTCATCCTTTTTCATATTCTATAATTATAACATACCTGATTTCGCCTTTTTATATTCTATATAACGTGCATGATTTAACCTTTTCATATTCTATATAACATACCTGATTTAGCCTTTTTATATTCTAACTGTTTTTGTTGAGGAGAATCTTCTATCTTGAGTCTTTTTATCTCCTGCAACATAATTAATAATACAAATAATTGTGTTTTATTCAGTAATTTTCTAAAATGTCTATTGTTTACAGTAATATTGGAAATTTAAGTAAGTCCATTTTACAGTGTCCCAATATATCTCAAAAACATCTAAATCAAATTTCCTTTAATGAAAATCAATTTCATTGCAAAAGCAAATAATTGTTCATTTCTACATTTTTGGTGCAATCATACAGAATTTAACAAATGAGTTCAACACGGTATTGGAATTGAGGGACAATAAAAAATTTGGCGTAGCAGTTTATGATGAAATGTAAAAGTTTACAGACGGATGCCGGACAAAAGGCCATCAAAACAGCTCACAATGATGTCACATTGTGATAGGTGTGCTAAAAAACAGTCTATAGTCCATACTTATTTATGCTACCTTTACCCTATTGATACACCCCTTTTTTATTTTAGATTTCTTATTTGCAGTCAGGTCTTTAGTTGCTAAATTTGAAAGATTAAAGTTATGAAAACTTGCATTTGAGCTTGATCAGCCAAAATACTGTCTTTAAACTTGCCCATGTGACCACGTGTATTAAGCAAATTTTGTCTCAATCAACAACTGTAAACCCCCCCCCCCCCCCCCCCCCAAAATCATTTCCTATATATCTTTAATGTATTTAAAAGCGACTTTTGCTCAACGCTATCGGCGACGGCTATTTAGTCAGCTAATTGATATTAATCTTTTTATCAAACAACCACTTTTAAATTGTAAAACACGGATGTTACTGCAGACATATTTTAAAAGTGCTCCTACCTGTCAATTGTTTGTGTTTTTAGTGAAAGCCGCCTCGTGATTTGACAAGTGTCAACAATCATAACAAAATATATAAATGTGTGAAGAACTGTATTTCCGAAACAGTTTTTAGCGTATGCAAATGAAGTTAATTAAAGATGTGACATGTATGATCGAATAAAATCGATAGAACAATGCCCTGTCCTTACTGAGATGGTGATATTCACTTCACTGTTGATATTTTGACTGCATTGAAATGACCTTGAACTTTTATAATCAGCAATCAAATTAATAGCTACAGATACATGTAGTTTGTTTCTTTGAATTGAAAATCACCACAGAAAACATTTACACAAATTAGATTTTACGTGTCGAGAACAAGGAAAAGTAGCTTAAAATTTGAAAATGAAAAACATGTAGGTAATGGATCAAAGCTGTTTTGTCAATAAATATCAGAAAGTTATTTTTTTTTATTTGAACATCTAATGAGATGATCACAGTGTTATAATTATTAAACATTTATATAAATTAAGTTGAAAAAACTTCCCCACCGGGGAGGAAAGAAGACGCATAAAATTTTCCTTTTCTATCATGCCTTGTCTTAAGAGACTGTTTTGTTAAGTGACCATTTCTAGAAGGTTTAACATTATAGAGGCATAATTTATAGGTCCTCAGTCAAGTCACATTCCTATTTAAAGAAAAAGTTATAAACATGATACTAAGGTATGGCTCTATTTGACCCATGTTCATGATTTTCATAACTTAGGCAATGCCATATTAAATATGTATCACTTTAGCCATGTAGCCTAAGGATAGGTCATTGTTTTCAAAGGGGAAGTTTTATACATGTATAGGCAAAATCATAACTGTTCAATAGAATTTCTTAAAACTTGGCATGTTCTTAGGCTATGATAAAGATACACTGGAACCATCACTGAAGATGAGTAAACACCCCCATCAGCAACTTTGACTTTTTGAAAATTAAGTGGTCTGAAAAAAATATTGGAACTCAACCAATAGTAAAAGAAGTATCAACTGTGTACAAAAAAAATTATTTCAATTAATTGAAACAATAACCGTGGTCTTCATATAAGCTGCTTATTATACATCAAGTTTGATTACACTATCTCATTCCTAACTCTAGTTATTGTCTGAAAACCATTTTTCTTTATTTAGTAGGGGTGACCTTGACCTCAACCCTAGGGGGTCGAAATAAAATACCACCGGGGTCTTCATATAAGATGTTATAACCCAAAATTGATTAGAATATTCCATTCACATCTCTAGTTTATGTCCGGAAACCATTTTTCCATTTTTAGTTATGGTGACCTTGACCCCAGGGATCCAAATGCAATATCAGCTTGGGTCTGCATATAAGCTTGCTATACACCAAGTACAATACCTTATTGCAAACTCAAGTTGTCGTCCAGAAACTATGATGTGGACCGACCGACAGACAAGCTGACTGCTATATACCCCCTTCTTTTGTGGGAGTTATAAAAATGTGGGCCACAATCCTTTTTACTGAGATCTCTACAAAATTAGACATATTTGCCTATACAAGAGGGCCATGGTGGCCCTGAGGTCGCTCACCTGTATATAGGCCCCCCCCAAACGTTGCAGGGCCAATTTAACCCAAGGGCTTTTATTTGCACAAACTTGGTAGACACCAATAAGAAGATGTTTCATGCTAAGCTCTAGCTCATTGGGCTTTTTAAAAGAAGATTTTTTTTAAAGTTTTTACTATACACATATAGTTAAAAACAATGACACCCCTGGGGCCGGGCCAGGGCTTTAATTTGAAAAAACTTTGTAGACACTTACTAGAAGATGTTTCATGCTTAATATCTAATCTCTAGCTATTTGGGTTTTTTTCAAAGAAGATTTTAAGTTTTTGCTATACACATATAAAGAAAATCAATGACCCCCGGGGCGGGGCAAATTTTGACCCCAGGTCTTTTATTTGAACAAACTTTGTAGACACTCACTCAAAGATGTTTCATGCTTAATATCTTAACTCTAGCTATTTGGGTTTTTTCAAAGAAGATTTTTTAAGTTTTTGCTTTACACATATAAGGAAAATCAATGACCCCCGGGGCGGTGCCAATTTTGACCCCAGGGCTTTTATTTGAACAAACTTGGTAGACACCTATTAGAACATGTTTGATGCTAAATATCTTAGCCATAGCTCTTTGAGTTCTTTAAAAGAAGATTTTTTAAGTTTTTACTATATGCATATAGGGAAAATCAATGACCCCCCGGGGCGGGGCCAATTTTAACCCAAGGGCTTTTATTTGAACAGACTTGGTAGACACTTATTAGAACATGTTTCATGCTAAATATCTTAGCTCTAACTCTTTTGGTTCTTTAAAAGAAGATTTTTTAAGTTTTCACTATATGCATATAGAGAAAATCAATGACCCCCTCGGGCGGGGCCAATTTTGACCCCAGGGCTTTTATTTAAACAAACTTGGTAGACACCTATTAGAACATGTTTGATGCTCAATATCTGAGCCATAGCTCTTTGGGTTCTTTAAAAGAAGATTTTTTAAGTTTTTACTATATGCATATAGGGAAAATCAATGACCCCCCGGGGCGGGGCCAATTTTGACCCAAGGGCTTTTATTTGAACAAACTTGGTAGACACTCACTAGAAGATGTTTCATGCCAAATATCTAAGCTCTAGCTCTTATGGTTTTTTAAAAGAAGATATTTAAAGTTTTTTCTTTCGGTTGCCATGGCAACCAGAGTTCTGCATGGAATTAAATTCTTTGAACAATTTTTAAAGGGGACCACCAAAGGAATATTCCTGTGAAGTTTCGATGAAATTGGCTTAGTGGTTTATGAGGAGATGTCATTTAAAGTAAAAGTTTACAGACGGACGACGCACGGACGAACGACGGATGGACGGACGCCGGACGAAAAGCGATTACAAAAGCTCACCCTGTCACTTTGTGACAGGTGAGCTAAAAAAGGGCACAATACAAACTTTTTGCTTAATTTATATAGTTTACTTATGTTTGAGTCAGTGTACAAAATTTCAATAAAGAAAAAAAAAGAGTAGATTTACTTTTTTCCACTTTTTGTGAGATTTTTCTTAAAACAATAACTTTTTTTTCATTCAAACTGAAAAGAAATAACAGAAACAAGAGCTGTCACCCAAGTGACACATGCCCCCGAAAATGTTTATTAAGCATGCAGGTATTATGAAAAGAAAAGAGAATGAAAGTAACTAATTGCTAAATTTTGTTCTTTGTATTACTGTACCTGTAATCTCTAATTGTGATCTCTAGCATGATCCTTCAAAATATAAGTGTGACCTTGACTTTTGAAGAAGGGACCAAGTTCCTGGACACAACAAAATATTGTTATGAGATAGACATTTGTGCCAAATTATTACAAAATCCCTCAATGCATGATAAAGTTACAGTCTGGACATATAAGTTGTGTAAGTGGGGATACACAGACAGACTGACATGAGCCTTAGTTGCCACACATTGTCTTGATGTGGTAGATATTTGTGCCAAGTTATTTTAAACCCTTCCATGCATGACAATGTTACAGTACGGACATGAATGTGTATCTTCAAACTCTTCTCGAGAGAATGAGTGTGATCTTGACCTTGAAGGTAGAGACATGGGTACCTTCGAACTATAAGTGTGATCTTGATCTTGAAGGTAGAGACATGAGTACCTTCAAACTATAAGTGTGATCTTGACCTTGAAGGTAGAGACATGAGTACCTTCAAACTATAAGTGTGATCTTGACCTTGAAGGTAGAGACATGAGTACCTTCAAACTATATGTGTGATCTTGACCTTGAAGGTAGAGACATGAGTACCTTCAAACTATAAGTGTGATCTTGACCTTGAAGGTAGAGACATGAATACCTTCAAACTATATGTGTGATCTTGACCTTGAAGGTAGAGACATGAGTACCTTCAAAACTATAAGTGTGATCTTGACCTTGAAGTAGAGACATGAGTACCTTCAAACTATATGTGTGATCTTGACCTTGAAGGTAGAGACATGAGTACCTTCAAACTATAAGTGTGATCTTGACCTTGAAGGTAGAGACATGAGTACCTTCAAACTATAAGTGTGATCTTGACCTTGAAGGTAGAGACATGAGTACCTTCAAACTATTAGTGTGATCTTCACCTTGAAGGTAGAGACATGAGTAAATTCAAACTATAAGCGTGATCTTCACCTTGAAGGTAGAGACATGAGTACCTTCGAACTATAAGTGTGCTCTTGACCTTGAAGGTAGAGACATGAGTACCTTCAAACTATAAGTCTGATCTTCACCTTGAAGGTAGAGACATTGTCTTTATTGCGACGTATCCTTCAATGCATGACAAAGTTACAGCCCGACATGAATGTGTGTACCTATAAACTCTAATTGTGATAAAGTGAACTTCAAAATGAAATTGTGACATTGACCTTTGAGGACGTGATTTTTGGACGCGACACATCGTCTTTATGTGGTAGACATCTATGCCTAGTTATTTCAGAATCATTCTATGCGTAACAAAGTTATTAAGTCCGGACACGTATGTGTGTACCTATTTACTCTAATTGCGATAATGTGAAACTTCAAAATGATTGTGTGACCTTGACATTTGAGGTAGGGACGTGGTTCTTGGACACAACACATCATCTTGATGCGGTAGACATTTTGCCAAGTTATTTTAAAATCCCTCAATGTATGACAAAGTAACAGTCCGGACACGAATGAAGTGGGGACGCACAGATGGACGGACGTAGTTGTATTGGAATACATGTACTGGTATATCAACTTGAAACAAACAAAAGGAAAACATTTTTTACCTGTTTTTGCTCTGTTATAACTGCCTCAAGTTCAGTATACTTTCTTTTCTGTTCCTCTCTTTCTTGTGCCAACTGTCTTTCAAGTTCAATAAATTTATTTTTCAGCTCCTCATATTCCACTTTAGTTGCAGCATTTTCAGTAAATTCCCGCATTTTTGTCATTTCATCTTTGATTTGTTTCAAAATTTCTTCAGAGCATTCAGTAGTGATAACAAAGTCTTTTTGCTTTAGCTGATGAAAAAAAAAATGTTCAATTTTCTTTCAGAGATAAAATGTAGCTATATCACATAGCAACATTTTTATTTCAAAATTACCACAATTGTTTTTTTATTTTAACTCTCATACTTTTTCTGAGGGCTTCAAAAATCTGCTTTTAAGGCAGGATGTGTGGTATAGTCATTTGATTGCCAGAATTCTCTATTTTCTTCACATTTGTTTTTCTTACCTGTTACTAACAAGCTTAGATCTGTATTCTTTATATTTACACTCTGTGGGTATTTTTATTTGATTTCATCATGATAAGTTAACTTAAGGCAGTTGTTACTTAAAATTCACTAAAATAAATTAACCACTTCGAGCACTTTTTTCTATTTAACTCTGTAAATTTAGTAAAATGTGCTTATTTAAAATTATGATAATTTAACTCTATAAAGATTTCAAACTTATAATTTATTATATACACTTACATCTTGGAGTTTCAGTACAGCTTGTTGTGCAGCTGGTTGATGAACAAGTTCCTTACTATCTTGTAGAACTGTTATCATATCATCTAAGAAAGTATTAGCCTCACTTTCCTCTAATTCCATGCTGCTTGAGTGGAAAATCAGGTTTCTATACTGACGTACCTATTGAATGAAAAACAAATAATACAACATAGTTATAGGGGTGTATAACTTAATTACTGTCAGAGTTAAATGGACATTCTTTTTTATGCTTTGTTGCTGTATAAATAGAGTAGTAAACTTACAATGAAGCGTAAAATTCCATGGTATCTACATTATCTAACAGCATCATTGCAAAGGAACAGCAAAATATGCCAGAATAAATAAGGCTTAGTAATCAAGGATCAAATGTGCTTGAGTTATCAAGAATAATTTTTCACATAGAGAAAAGCCCCAACATTCTACAGAAATAAAAGAACATTATAATTAAAGTATATAAATCATTAAATGATAAAATTTACCTTTGAAAAAAGATTGTTTGGTCCTGTAACATTGCATCCAATGTGACTATGAAAGTAATTGTTATTTATGATAACATGAAGCAACCCAGTGCAATCAGTGTCGACTGCTGATGTCTTGTCCTTGTACCCAGGAGCATTTATAAAACATTTGCAAACCTCCCACGGTTCTGTTGACCACTGATTGACATCACTGTTTTTCCAAAAAGGTGCCGGTGGCATTGATGCATGATACTGTATAATGCTGTCATAGATGGCGCCACATACATTGTTTGGACAGGGTCTCTTATTATTAGGAAAACAACAGTTACATTTATCTTGTTTGAGGGGACATATCCCTTTTGAGACTCGGACATGGTCTGGCTGGAGAGTTGTTATCTGACAGGCGCCACATGGTATGTTTGGTTGAGGAGTCTTTGTTTGTTGCATTTGGTTTATAATATCTTTGTGCTGCTGTCTTCCTATGTCATCACAAAATGGCGCAAGTCCCTCTTTAAGATAACCCAAGCCTAGGCCAGCCTTAACCCACTGCCGGTATTTGTTGTTCTTTAAATGTATCTCATGTGCCATCTTGATTTCTAGAAAGAAAAACTAGAAATGTGTCATCATGCCACGGATGCCCCCGCATGCAGCCAAAATTTCAGATGTTATAATATTTAGTTCCAAATTTGTTTGTACAAATTATTTTTTGCATTTTAAGTTCAAAACCCTTAAAACTTTTCAATGTTAACACAAACAATTTTCATAAAATGTTCAAGGCACTGAAATCATTCAGCCTTAACCTTTTGTAAATAGCATATTTCATAATGGCTACATACATTTCCACAAAAGTATGAGTGCTGAAACTGAAAGTTCAAAATTTTTCCAACATTCAAGAAAGATAAGTTTGTCCTAAATCATTGAACCACGACCAAATTCAAACTTAAACTGCTTATTCCTAAGATGTATCTATATTATTAATTTCAAAGTGAAAGGGACATAACTCTGCCAAAAAAAAATCATCAAACCATGACCAAATTCCAACTTAACCTGCCCATTCCTTTGACATATCCATATGTCAAATTTGAGTTGAATATGTAACACTGTTGGGTAGGTAAAGAACAGAAAATGTAGTCATATTCATATTATTTTCAAAGTGAAAGGGGCATAACTCTGCCAAAGATCATCAAACCATGACCAAATTTGAACTTGACCTGAGCATTTCTTTGACGTATCCATATGTCAAGTTTGAGTTGAATGTGTTGTACCGTTGGGGAGATAATGAACGGAAACTGAAAATTTCATATTATTTTCAAAGTGAAAGGGGCATAACTCTGCCAAAAATCATCAAACCATGACCAAATTCGAACTTGACCTGTATTTTCTCATGACATATCCATATATCAAGTTTGAGTTGAATCTGTTGTACCGTTGGGGAGATAATGAACGGAAACTGAAAATTTCATATTATTTTAAAGTAAAAGGGGCATCACTCTGCCAAAAATCATCAAACCATGACCAAATTTGTATTTTCTCATGACATATCCATATGTCAAATTTGAGTTGAATGTGTGCAACCGTTACTAAGAAAATGAACGGAAACTGATGATGACGGAATGACAGAATGACGGAAGGATGGAAGGAAGAAACAGGGTAACACTATATGCCCCGGCCATTACATGGCAAGGGCCTAAAAATATTTTTAGCTACAATTTGCAAGAATCCAAGGAAAACCAACATTAACTACGACTGATCACAAACACTTGTACATGTATGCCCTGAAAGCTGGGTCCAGTTAAGGGACCATGAACTTTGGCTTATAATGAAGGCATTGTTACAATCTCTAGAGGGCCATACTGGCCCCAGATTGCTCATCTGAGATTTGTTGTTAGAAATGGTCATAATTATACAGAAGTAGATATTATTTGGGCCACAATGAGCGGCCAAAATCAATTCAACAATTTCTAGTCATGTGGTGGAGTCACGTGGTGGAGTCACATGGGAGTCATGTGGTGGAGTCATGTGGTGGAGTCACATGGTGGAGTCATGTGGTGTCACGTAGTGGTGTCACATGGTGGTGGAGTCATGTGTTGTTGTTGTTGTTGATGATGATATATATATATACAGAAATACACACACACACATACTATGGTAATAAATATATATGGTCATTTAATGCACAAATCTGAGAAAATTCAGTAATTTAACCTTCAAGGTCAAGGTCATTAAAAAGCCCAAGTGTTTGATAAACAACAAGGTATTGTCCTTAAAGGCCCAACTGGACTATAAAAGCCAGCAGATGGCGCTAGGGCAGGTTTCTTATTAATTTTATGCATGCTTCACTTCAGGGACCCTTTTTCAAAGATTTAAGATTAATTACCAAATGCATTAAAACAACACTTGGCATGTTTGTAGGCATAGATATTTTTGATAAAGATTGACCAAAATTATTTAAAATATAACTTTATTAAGTGTGTTTCTGGAAAAAAATACTAGCTGTCAAATTTGAAATTTGAATTTCCCTGGGAGGAGCCAACTGATCATTACAGGTCATGAACCTTCAGTAGTAAACAGAAGCACGTGGCAGTGTTTATTTCAGGGAGAGAGATTTGTAGCAGACGATGTATATTTCAGGGAGGGAGATTTTCAGCAGACGACACATTGGAATGCTGAATAAAACAATAACTTTTACTGACTTGTTTTATCAAATCCAACAAATTTACTATAATCCATTAATCTATGATTTTTTTTAAATTTCAAAGTACTGATTTAACTTGTATTTGAATGGTTTAAACTTCATGAAAACAGTAAAAGTAACTTCCAGGTATATTTCATTTACACTATATTTTGTTGTAAATATCTTGTAGTCAAAAATTACATTTCACAAATGTTAATCAAACTAAATATTGCATATGCATAAAATTTTTATACATTAACAGTTTAATAATATTTTAAATTCCTGTCAAGAACATTTTTAGCAGGTTGTTCCTAAAAGAAATGCCCCATGTAAGGCACATCTTTTGGATTTTGATATAATTGTCTGACTTGATGAAGGACACATACAGCATTCCAGTGAAAAAAAAAGAAAAACAACTGACTTCAAAAATAATATCTGGACAAGATGACTTGATAATATATAAAACATCCATTAAACCTCTCCTGTGTAAACTCAGCTTCTCTCTGCAGGTTAACACTGCATGCTATTTATAGTTCAGGGTTTATAATAGACAGTTTTACATCACTGATTAGTCACACCCACAAATACTCGCTGCCGCGGCAGCGAATGTTGCCCCTTTAAGTATGTTCTGTTATAATATGAAGTTGATCCCTTCAATAATAGCTTAGTTACAGCCAGTTACAGCCAAAACACTGAAAATTTCAATAATTTGAACTTCAAAGTCAAGGTCATTAATGAGTGAAGGTCAAGGTCTGTCTGACTATTTTTAAGGGTTATCATTGAACATTATTATGTTCAAGTTTGAAGACAATCCATCAAAAAATAACAAAGTAACAGCCAATAATTGCCAAAAAAATGAAAATATCGATAATTTGACCTTCAAAGTCAAGGTCATTTTTGAATGAAGGTCAAGGTCTGTCTGGTTATTTTAAGGGATATCCTTGAAGATTAAGTATTATGTTCAAGTTTGAAGACAATCCATTCAAAAATAACAAAGTTACAGCCAATAACAGCATGAACAATCAAAATTTGGACTTTTAACCTTGAAGGTCAAGTCATTTATGGATGAAGGTCAAGGTTAGTGTGGTCTACTGAAAGGTCTTGTCCCAAGGGTTGTTGTAGCCAATATGAAGACGATACACCAAGAAATAAAAAAGTTATGATCCAGGTACAAGTTTGCGGACGGGAACGGCAAAAAAAAAGTCGAGCTAAAAATCCGATTGATCTAAATCAATTATCATTATTATACTTGAACTGTCTTTTGATCCGAGATTCATCATTCAAAAATGTCTACATTTTAGTCTATGCCCATATCTTAGCAACACTTAAAAATTGGTGTAAAACATAAAATTGTTGGGATAAAAAGAATGCTAAACATTCAAAGCATTAAGGAACATTTTGGGTTTATTCAAGAAAAGGGGGATGTAAACTCAAACAAGAGCTGTCTGTAGGACAGCAATGCTCGACTTTTCTTAGTGCTTGATAGTAAAAAACGCCTTGATTAAAAGGTAAAATTTTCTCAGTAACGAAAAAGGCAATTTTTTTATTTTAATCCATATTACAGTTATGGGCATTGGAGAGAGTCCTATTATGCTCTCAAAGAAGAGTATAAAATTGCAACATGTTTCAAAGCCTTATGTCAATGAATTTTGAAAATATTTGAGGTATTACAAAAACTTTTACGTAAATTCCAAGTAGGAAAAGGGGCATAATTCTGTCAAAATACTTGATAGAGTTACCTCCTCCTGTCTACAGGTTGGGATCATGATGTTGTACAAGTGTGCAAAGTTTCAAAGCCATATGTCAATGGACTTTGAAAATATTTGAGGTACAGTACAGCTCAAGCAATTTTTCCAAAGTCCGCCGATCCCCGCGATTTGTTTACGGGTGGACTGTCACCGTGATGTCCCTGCGATAGTTGTGACTTTCCGCTTGTCCACTCGATCGGGGGAAGTTTGCGCTGCGGGATATTGTCACCGTGGATCACTGTGAAATATTGCAGCGGTATTTCGCTCTCTCGGGTGACCATTAGTTTATTTATAACACAGGGACATTTATTACTATTACTGTATGTCTGTAAAATATAATGAACTCAAACACATTTTTTATAGAAGAAAATCTTTATGTTATGTATTTAAACGACGTAACACCTGTCGTATGCAAATAATTACAAAATTTAATGATTTGCGTTTGAAATTAATACCCTAATATGTAGTAACTTTTAACATAATTAATTTCAACTGCTTTAAGCCATTTTAACCTTTCTGATTTTACAGTGCTACAATCATATAAGAATTTTCAATTATTTCTTTGATCCATTTAAACGATTTTTTCTGTTAAATTTACGTGTGTAAATTACCTTCCCTCCAAATATTGACGAGAACTAAAGTTTAAGTGGGTCATAGCATATAATACACACAAATTTACTTTTGAACTAAACATTTCTCTATTTTAAATATTTAATATCGCATTTACGGTTATGATCTGAAAAAAAAAAATGTAACAAATATGTTTATTTCATCATGATCACAGATCTAAATTTTTAGATAGCGCATACCGTGGAATACTGTAGTTATTTAATAAGTAATGAGATAGATTCTAATTTATTTCTACGACACTCACCTCACCATTATGGAGAAGTAATCCTCAACTTCTTAATTGCATTTTCCCATCACAGTCGTATTTAACAGCTAAAAAATGTGGCTTTTGATGACATCTTGCAAAGTTTACGTAAAAACATATGTTAAGGAAAGGTTTGTTAAACTATTATATATAATTACGTACATGAACTAGTCCACGGCTGCACTATTAGGTGTATGTGCTAATTGCTTAATTATACCCCAAAAAACGAAGTTTGGGGGGGTATATAGGAGTCACCCGGTGGTCGGTCGGTCGGTCCAGCGTTCCGTTGCATTTTCCTTGTCCGGAGCATAACTTGAAGACTAATTGTTGGAATTAAATATAACTTCATACAAATTCTAAAGATTGGCCGCTATTATATGTACATGTATATTATATAGTAAGTGGCGTTTATTGTTTCAAGTATGAATAGAATTTATAAAAAAAAATATTTTAAGTGTTCTAGCTATCGTTTCAACTTTTTACACAGAAACATCACAGCATTTAATTTTCTTGAAAGTGTTGACCGATTTTGTTAATATTTTGTTATTCCGTTTTCTTGAAACTTTTTTCATTGAACTGTTTTGTGATGTGATTTTCCCCGGTAAATGTACATAAATATCGCCGAGCTAATTAAATAATTTTATTGAATGATTTAAATCATCAGTCACATTGTAAGTCTTTTTGATTTTTTAAAAGAAGACTACGTTGTACATTTACATGAACATTTACGTGTATATGCAAATTAATCACTGCAAATCTCTGTGATTTTCCACCGCGGATTGCAGGGTTTTTTTACTACCCGTCCGTGGTGATTTGTCGCCGTGGCATACTATAGTATGTCCCCCGCGATTTTCTGTTCGCCGTTAAAAGTGTCCGCGGTGACTGAGTGGAAAGAGGAAAAAATGCTTGAGCTGTACTGTATATCAAAAACTTAAACGAAAATTCTTAAGTCGAAAAAGGGGCATAATTCTGTCAAAATGCTGGATAGAGTTACCCCCTCCCGTCTACAGGTTGGGGTCATGATGGTTAATAAGTGTGCAAAGTTTCAAAGCCATATGTTAATAGGCTTAGAAAATATTTGAGGTATTACAAAAACTTAAACGAAAAATTTAGTTGAAAAAGGGGCATAATTTTGTCAAAATGCTGGATAGAGTAACCTCCTCCCTTCTGCAGGTTGGGGTCATGATGGTGAATAAGTGTGCAAAGTTTCAAAGCCATATGTTAATGGGCTTTGAAAATATTTGAGGTATTACAAAAACTTTAACAGCCGACGCTCAGGTGACTACAATAGCTCCACTTATTCTTATCGAATAGTCGAGCTAAAAATTAGTCCCAAATTAGATTCTGTTGTATGACTGCCATTTAGCCGCAATCTTGAGACCACATCTTGATCGTAAATATCTTGGCAAGGTTAAAACAAGAGGGTCATGATGGCCCTAAAATTGCTCACCAATATATAGGCCCCTGGGCCAAGGCCAATTGTAAACCAGGGGCTTTTATTTGAACAAACTTGGTAGACACAACAATCAGAGATCCATTTTTTGTGCCCCCACTTTAAAACTTAACAGGAATGTTGATCAGCATGTGTAGTTGTGCACCTGGGTATTTTCGTCTGGATATTTTTAGTATTTTTAGAGTTATTGCCCTTGACTTAGTAAAATTTTGCAATTTTCAACTTGTGTCGCATGTAACTCAAAAAGTATTTGACCTACATGTAATGTCATGAAACTTTACAGGAATGTTGATCAGCATGTGTAGTTGTGCACCTGGGTATTTTCGTCTGGATATTTTTAGTATTTTTAGAGTTATTGCCCTTGACTTAGTAAAATTTTGCAATTTTCAACTTG